ACACCCTGCTAGCGATTCCAAAGGGCTAAAGAGCCGGTATTCTGTCAATTTGCAAAAGTCAAAGGCCATTTCTAAGATGTATGGTGTTATATAGAGGTTTACACGATACTGCAGCTGAGGGAGTGGACGGTTTCAAGGATTTTCTCCAAATTATAGATGAATTGGAAAGCGTGGGAGCAGAAAAGGACTAGTGTAAAGAAGTTCGGAAGAGGCTTCAGGAGAGCAAGTTGTATTTGAAGACTACATACCGTAATCACTGCGAAGAGGACGATAGCAAATGTGCCGATCACTGTAGGGTCTTTGCACTGAGCTATGCTGGTGACACTGAAGTTCAGAAAGTATGCAGTCACAGTCACAACGTGAAGTGTGAGGATTGTGAGATGTTGAAGAGTGTTCTTGAAGAAGTAAAAGGCGCTATTTCTGAGTACACAATGCAATTGGGTAGGTTTCAAGCGGAAGACTATCTGTATGAAGCAAAAAATACTGCCGCTAAGACCTTTGAATGGACAGGGTATATCCTGAGAGCAGAAACCAGGATCAGTACGAGCGGCAAATTGTCGATACTTTAGAGGGAGATGAAGCATTTATAATAGTTGACTGGACAATGAAGTTCATAGCAATGAAGTTCCGGGAAAAGCAAGCAGAATGGTTTCCCCAGAGGGAAATCAATTGGCATGTGAGTAGTGTTGTTGTAAGACAGGAGGAAAGCCTGGAAGTAACCTGATACGTAGACCTTCTTAACAGCTGTAAAAAAGACTGGTTTTCAGTGCTGTCAGTCCTAGAAAATCTCTTTGTCACCATAAAGTTAAGAAATTCAGGAATAACAAAGGCCCTTTATAAGATCGGATGAAGCAGGTTGCTATCACAACAGTAAGCTAGTATCATCTCTACGAGTGCTCGGACATCACTAGTGCCACTTTCAGCAACTTACACAAGAGGGCCTACGCGTTTGGAGAGCGTTTAATGTTGGGTCTAGAAAGTTTATTCAGTAAAATTAAAATTGCAATTTTTCCACAGAAAAAATGACGGATCTGGTGAAGGAGATTCCATTTTTCCCCACTACTGCTCGACGAACTGCATCAGCAGGAGAAAGCAATGATGGCAACGACGGTAGTTCCTATCAATGCCCTGAACCTGGTTGCGATGAAGATTTTAAGACGCAGGCCGACCTTGACTTCCATATGAACTAGCTGGTCCATCATGTAAGTCCTGTGCCTGCCAGCATGACTTAAAGTCTTTATGACAAAGTGAAGAGGTAGTGGGTTCATTACTTTCAGTCATTGTCATTAGAGGGTGAAAGTTCGACTGAACTGGTTGCAGTGGCCACAGAACCCTTGAAAAGTACATCAAAGCTTCCCATGAGATGGGCTCTTCATAAGAGAGGTGCAAGTGAACGGCTTTCGCAAAACGTCAGGCAGTACTTGAAACAGAAATTTAATATCGGATGAGACACTGGCAGAAACCAAACCCAGTGAAAGTAGCAAAGGATATGCGAACTGCTTGCACAATAGATGGAGAGAGAATGTTCGATAGAACAGAGTGGTTATCCAACATACAGATTCAGGGTTTCTTCTCGAGATTGTGCCTTAAACAGCAATCTAAAATACAACAAGAATTGGATGATGCCACCGACGCAGACGACCACTTGATAGAAGCATCCGCGTCTGATGTAGACGAAGGGTGTTTGAGAGAGGCGAGGAACACAGTAATGGATGAGATAGATTGAAACATCCAATCATGTTTCATATCTATGATGTGTGCTCGTTGGCAAGAGAAGCAAGGTTGTCTAGTCTCAAAGTCAAGATGCTAAGAGACATATGCGAACATTTTGAGCTCGCATTCAAAATGCAAGATACAAATGCAGCACCTCTTGCAAAAATGGAGGAAATGATTTCGGAGTGCAGTTGCTATGCAATCTAGTTATGACGTCCACCCGTTATGCGAATGCGATATCTTTGTTTACAAGAACTCTTCAAACTTATGAACAGAGACTGTTACGCAGACAGATGTGACGACCAAATATCATTTTTTCCCTTTCAGCGAGAAATCCGACAAATCGCTGCTTTATTTAGACGTGAGAAGTATTCAGGACAATTACACGATGGAATTACGTGACAGAGTCACTGGTCAAGGTGAATTTAGTGTGTGCTGTTATCGCCGGTTACACTAAATAGAATCCTGTAGTTTAATTTTGAAATGTTCATACAGGTGTGAATAGCGTAAGCCATCAGAACTCAAATATGAAATAACAGAAGCCAAATTTTTAAAAAAGAGTTTGCGAGCGCTAATCAAATTATGATATTCGATAAGTTGTTGTTGACGTCTTTCGTCACGATATAATAAAATTGGTCAAATTTTGGCCTTTTAAAATGCTTAAAGTATTAATCGGTGTGGTTTTAAAGCTCTGTCCTACTATATTTTCTACTTAAAATGGTTAAAATCTAAGATTTATTGAGCTACTCACACAAAACGGTCGGAGTTTGCTCAATGAACTAATTTTCATAATCGGCTGTCACGCTTGCAATATCGCTAAAAGTTCGAAGTCACCTCGGCGAAGAAAATCAATAAGTGCAAAATGTTTTTATATTTTTCTGCAGCCAAACATCTTATTAGCAGAAATCAAGCGGAGTTTTTAATGGTCTGGTCTGGACTTGAGCAATATCAATCGAGAAAGAAAGAGTACTTTTAACCAATTTCAGAAAGCTGTCCAACGAGTGTTTTTAAATAAATTATGACGAGCCTCTGAATAAACGAATATCAAAATTGAAATGCATTTTATACACCTTATATATCACACACTTTAAGAATACAAAATATTTTTTGTTGCATGCGGTGTGATACGAGGACCGGGCTATTCAACATTTGAAATTTTCGATGTCGCAAGAGGTCAAAAAAGGGCCTTTTGCAGCTTTGACTTTTGAGAGCTATAAAAATTTTTATTTTGAGGCATTTCCAAAAACTAATGTGGTTTTATTTACTTGTTACCAAAAATTGTTTATTGGGCAAAGTTTGAGGGAAAACTTTTTTCCGATGCGAAATGCCCTGGACCGCTCTTACAGAGATCGCCTCTTAATGCTTCAGGCATTTTGACTGTAAAAGTACCCTAAAGACATTGGATGTATTGTCAATCAATGAGGGTATCATTTAGTTAATAATGTTTGTAAATATTTTGCCCAAGCTCTCATTTTGACTATACATTTATATTTTAAACTTTTTTCCATTAATTTATTTTTTTCATTTATTTTTTTTTTTGCAGGCCAATATTCTTCATGTTAAACACGGACGGGATGTTTCTATCCTATATTCACATAAACATGCCAGGGGGGACACAGTCCAGGGGTATGGCACCCCTAGCATTGGTGCTAAATTTATTAGCAAGGAGAAAGACAATGTATCTGAGGCAGGGAGAGCGGCTTGAAATCTATTTGCAAAATTTGCTGATAGTAAGTTTTATTGTAACACTGCATGTAACATTAGGCGTAGATTTAATTCCATTAGTTGGTAGAAATGAAGAAACAACAAAAGGGTTTTCAGTAGAAGCCAGCAGCTGACAGAAATCTCCTGGTTATGAAGATGAATTTGTAGCCCCCTGCTCAAGTTTTATTATTTCATTGGTTCTATTTTTTTCACTGAATTGGAATAGGCTACAATCATATGAATGCGAGTCCAATTAGGCATTGACACTAAATTGCACTGGAATTCAGCCGAGTGTAATTTGAAAGAATTTTCAAATATTACTTTCATTATAATAATTATTTAAGATAATTACAATCAGATTTGGACTGGCCCGCAGTTGGCCAATACTAGTCTAGGCAGGCTAGCCCATTAAGAATTAATGATATACAATGGTAATTTGTTAATAAATGAAAAAGAAAACTGAAGAAGGAAAATGATATTCATATGATATTCATGATATCCATTATGTTCAAAATTCTTGATGGAGAGTGAGAATCGTTGCTCTAAGTTGCTCTACAATCTTGGAAAAAAATGTGACATTTTACCAAATCACCACTTTTTCAACAATCTATTCTTACCAAATCTATTCTTTTCCATCCGCTCTCCCCAGTTCAATGTTGTCAATGTTGGTATGTTGTCAAAACAAAGTTGGATGAATTGCAAACCCCATGAAACAACATTGAACAGGGGGGAGGGGGGAAAGAATATTCTTTACCTGCTGGTAAGTCATTACATATGCAAAAAATGTGTGATATCCATTTGTCTCAACTGATTTTGTCCAAGGTTGTAGCTTTCATACAATCACTCATGTTTTGGAGCCTCCTCTCTTGATCTGACCCATTACAACCACAAGCAAGCTCATGATGGACTTAACATTGACCCCCAGTCCATGGACTTCACCCTATAGTAAATAGATAGAAAATTTTGCAGCTCAGTGAAGATATGTAAAATGGTCTATAATGGCCTATAATGGCCTAGCTCACCAAGAGTCTCTGACACTTACATGTAGTCGGTTTGAGCATCTGACCAGTAAGTGGGAGGTCATGTCTTCCAATCCTGTCAGGGTCTGCTGACTCTTCAACGTAAAACGGTATCATCATTAACAATATTTAAGAGGCCTGGTCTTTGGCATTGGCTACGGCCCTGTTTAGGATAACCTGGGTGCTAACTGAAATTGATTAAACTGACCTGCATTACTAAATAAACTAAGTATTATGTACATTTGCCGAAGGTACAACTAAGATGAGACAGGGAGGACTTAGCATGAAATCCAGACTAGTCACCGCAAAATGTTTGCCACAGGGAATGAGGAAAGGTGCCCCATCATGTTGTTCAAATGCTATCTGGAGAAGTGGCTAAGTGAAATGAAGGAAAGTGGTCCGTTTTACCTCACTGTTATCGACAAGCCAGTTTCAAGTTTTGGGTGCAAGGAAACCCCAGTGAAAAAGAATACCATAAACACAATGAAAAACATGAAAGTGAATTCACCACTGAAGAATCTGTGTCCCAAGAGGAATTTGACATACCAAAGAGCGTGAAAAACCATGGTCAAGAAGCTGAAAAGTTCTGGTATTCTAAAGTGCAAAATAAAGAATATCACAGGCCACGCATCTCCACAAGGGCTTGACGATTATGACTCAAGAGACAAACCAGAGCAGCAGATCATTTCATGAGCCATTGACAACACTGGTCCTGTTTCTTCAAGAAGCGCCTTAAGTCAACTTTACACTGCAAATTCCACTGCATCTTTGAGTGCTCCCAGCCATGTTTACAATTTCAGTCACAGCAGTGTCACCTTGAACATCACCAGGAATGATGCCGTTCAGAAGAGCACAAGTGATGTAAGGCAAGGATACAAGCGGATCTTCATCACAGAATCAGATTCTGAGTGATCTGAAAGCATTTTGAATGCTTTAACTTTGTTTGAAAAAGCACTAACATTATATTTTCAAAGTTGAAAGTTTGTTAGCAGGCCTGGTTTTTTCAATAGCCTGATGTGTTTGTGCAAAAATAAAATTTCATTAAGCACATTCACACAGTTGTGGTGATTGATTATTTGTAAACATTAAATGGCTTCCTGTGACTAATTGCTCAAGGACGCATTCAGAAATTGAGTATTTTTTCCCTCTTTTTCATTAACAAGTAATCACAATGGGTCCTTATAAAATTAAGGATTAATATCACTTGTGTATTCAGAAGTTGCTGAAATTGCCCAGGTCACACAGCGACGACGGGAATTTCAGCAACTTCTGAGAATACATGTGATATTAATCCTTTGTTTTACTCAGCTCATGTAATTACCTATACAAATTACAAATAATGTAGTTAATATATATATAGGTATATGGTCTAACAATCTATTGATTGTTGAAAGCTAAACTGGTACTTGGGAAAAACTAGGGTGTAATCTTTCAGTCCTACATCTAGTCAATGTATATTTGTTAGCGCTTCTCGTTTGATAGTGATGCATGCGCTTCCTCATTATTGGGAGATGTTTACTAAGAGGTCCTCCTCTTGAGATCTTTCCAAGAGTTTTAAAGGGGAACTCTGGTGCAAAAATGGGCTTTTTTCACATGAAAGTTCTAATATTTTCCTTGTGATTTCTTGTACTTTTAGGTAAAATTGTGTAAGAGACTTTAGAATTGCTATCTTGAAGAGAGCTTAAAATTCGATTAGAAATCCACCCTCTTGGACGATGATTGAATGTTCACAAACTGGTCAGCGGATGGTTGAATGACGTCAGAATGTTGAAGCTTCACTGGACAGCACGCTCCCAAGCACGTTCTTCTAGCTGTGTACTTTAAAGCAGTTTAACAGTAGCATCAATCCAGTGCTACATTATGTCTTCTCCATCTCCCGAATCTTGCTCGGCTTCGAGTGATTTTGAAGAAAATACAGTGGGAAGGTACGGGATACAGCCGTATCAATTCGAACAACAGGTCGAAACTGTTCCATATGATGAAGCTCAAAGTGCTCAAAGCTTCTCGGGAGAATACAAGGATGTGGAAATCAAAGAGGAAGAGCAAAACCCACACTTGCAAAATTCAGACCGGCAGGTAATGGAGTCATGTATGTTTCTAGCTGACACAAGAGTTTTCATTAAAGTTTGTGTGGCATCTCCTTTGTGTGTGAATGTTCAATTTAGAGTTTGTTGGGCTATCTGCCCCGTTATTTGAGTTGCTCGAGCAAGGTTAAGACTGCTTTAAATTATCACTTGATTTAATAAATGAAATCATCTAGAATGCATACTGTTGTGATTTATTTTTATGGAATGTTGTGTTTGGAAACAGAACTTGAAGGAGAATAAAATTATGTAAAGACAGCTTTTCAAAATGATACCACCCTTTCCAATTTCAGACTTTCTGTGGCACTGTCTTTCTCGTTACAAGCTTACCTTTTTTAATTTTAGGCTGGAAATATTCTTGGAAATATTCTTGCAAATATTCTTAAATTGAAGCGCAAAATGTGATAATCTATTTTTACGATATTTTAGAATTTTATATCATTTGGTTAAAAACATAAACTTAATTGTATGGTATTTACAAATTCTATTTCGACACCAGTCCTACTCACTAGTGAGTCACGTGAGATATGTGCGAGTAGCCCAAGCGATCAGTTGCGCGCGTTATTCCAGAGCGGTCAGTCGTGTATTTTTCCAGTGCTTGGATTATGGCGGACGAACATGATCAAATACTTTCCACTGAGGCGGAGGACAAACTCTTAACCGTTGAAACGGACCCTAAAGAAAAGACTCCAACTGATGTCCACCCGGATCCCATGTTTAGTATGATGCAAAATATAAACAGAAACCTCGGAGCAATGGCAGACTCGATGATCGCCGTGCAGCAGTCGTTGAAGCGTCTTCACTCCAGCCACACAGACGAACAAATCGACCCTAAACGGCGTAAACACTGTTCCAGAGACGAAATGAGTGCCTCCGATGGTTCAGAGCACGATGGAGAAGACTCTGATGCAGACTTGCAGGTCCTTTGTGGCACTGAAGCCGACGGAATTTCCAAGGATAAACCATGTGCTCCACTTGAGCAAAATGATGGCAGCAATGACCCATTGTTGTCAGAAATCGCAGAGGATTTTCTCAATGCAGACGACTCAGGTCCGGCTATTAAGAAACAACTGGCGGAATTTATCAACAACCTGTGGTCTAAGAGATTGCCAGACTCGAAACTAAAGGATAAGTCAGCGAAGTATTTACGCCCGGCGAACTGTGAGACTCTCACAACACCGCGGGTTAATCCTGAAATCTGGGATAAACTGAGCCACTCAGTGAAACAGCAGGACCTCAGGTCCAGCTCAATCCAGAAAACGATTGCCACAGCTGGTGCTGCAATGTGCAAATCCATTGGGATGCTGCTAGAAATGAAGAATTTGAAGCAGCCGAAGTCAGACTCTGACATTCAGAAACTTGTCAAAGTGAACACCGATGCAGTCGCTCTCCTAGGGCACGCATATATCGACCTGTCCCACCGTCGCAGGGAGTCGCTCAAAATTTGATTGGCGAAGCAAGCCTTTTTTAGCCAAAGGCCGTCAGTGGAACTCGAAGCCACTTCAAAAACCCTTCTTCCGACAACAGGACCAAGGGAAGAAGCAGCAATGATTTCCGCTGACACACTCGATAATTTACAGGTAAATAATCTTGTCTTATTTGAGTCCAATATGAAACATATCTTTGCGAATAAGGTGCAAAGCTTCAGGGCCGGCCAACTGAAACATTTCCTTGGTAAATGGAAAGAACTAACTTCCAACTCAGAAGTCCTTAACTGTGTTAGGGGTTAGTACATTGAATTTTCCACACAGCCCACAAAAAACTTGGTTTCCAAAAGGAAAACATTCAACATCAGTGACTCACTACTTGTTGAAGCTGAAATTAAAAAATTGTTTGACAAAGGTGTCATTGTACCCACTCAACATGAAAGTGGAGAATATATTTTGCCTATTTTTGTGACAAATAAAAAAGATGGATCATCTCGAATGATCTTAAATTTGAAAAGCTTTAACCAGCATGTTGAATACCAACATTTTAAAATGGACTCGGTCTGGACAGCAATTAGGCTCATGACCCCAAATTGTTACATGGCGTCAATCGATTTAAAAGATGCTTACCATTCGGTCCCTATTGCAAAGCCACACCAGAAGTACCTCAAATTTGAGTGGAACAACATGTTATTTCAGTTTACATGTTTTCCCAATGGGTTGGCCTTTTGCCCTAGGAAATTTACCAAGCTAATGAAACCAGTCTTTGCCACCCTTCGACAGCTTGGCCACTTATTGTCAGGTTACATAGATGACTTCTGGTTGATGGGGACAGTCTGGGATGATTGTGCAAAAAATGTGGTTGACACGGTAAAATTATTAGACAGTTTGGGATTTGTGGTACACCCTGAGAAGTCGGTGTTCATCCCAACTCAAAAACTGGTATTTCTGGGTTTTACTCTAGACTCAGTTAACATGCAAGTCTACCTTACACCTGATAAAGCTGTTAAGCTAAAACAGGCAGCTACTGTTATGTTGCACTGTAAAAAGCCTACTATTAGGGATGTAGCCAAGGTCCTTGGGCTTATAGTATCTAGCTTTCCTGGCGTTGCCTATGGACCCCTTCACTACCGCTATTTAGAACGAGATAAAACTATAGCTCTTAATGCTAGCAAATGGAACTTTGATGCCACAATGTGCATATCCAGCCAAGCAGGTGAAGAGCTTAAGTGGTGGATTGAATCAATCAAGACTGCATCCAACCCGATAAATCAAGGAGAAGTAGATATTACCATTACTTCTGATTCCTCAAAACAGGGGTGGGGTGCAGCAACCAGTGATTCTTCAACTGGGGGACTTTGGACTGTTGAAGAGGCTAAGGAGCACATCAATTTTCTCGAAATGTTAGCTGTATTCTTTGCCTTAAAATCATTCAGTACTTTGACTCATGGCAAACATGTTAAGGTCATGGTCGATAATACTACCACTGAATCAACTATTAACCAGATGGGTACAAGCCACTCCCCTAAGCTAAACAAGCTAACTAAAGACATATAGGATTGGTGCATTAAGCACGATATATGGCTGACTATGGCTCGTATACCAGGGTGTGAAAATGTAAAGGCAGACAAAGAGTCGCGTACATTTAGGAGGTGTACTGAATGGTGCTTAAAGAAAACTCTCTTTGCAAGGGCTTGTACCAAGCTCAATGTTACCCCTAACATCGACCTATTTGCGTCTAGGATCAATTGCCAGATCATGCCCTATGTCTCTTATAGAGCAGACCCAGAAGCTTTTGCCATCAATACTTTTCACATGTCTTGGCAACATTACTTATTTTATGCTTTTCCACCATTTAGCCTGATAACAAGAGTTCTTCAAAAGATTCAAGAGGAGAAGGCAACAGGGCTTCTACTTGTTCCAAAATGGCCAACTCAACCGTGGTGGCCCAAGTTAATGCAGATGTTAATACAACCACCAGTACAGCTTCCAAAGGACAGAGACACTCTGTTCCTACCCAGCAGCCCACAGGAATCTCATCCACTTCACAAGAAACTGTGCCTGATTCTGTGTCACTTGTCTGGAGATACCTCAACGGCAAAGGTCTTTCGACAACAGCTACCACAGTCATGGAACACTCCTGGCGGTCAGGCACTAGAAAGCAATATGCTACTTACCTTGAGAAATGGAGACGCTACTGTAGTTCAAGGAGCATTGATCCCATTTGTCCCCCTGTAGAGGAGGGAATCAATTTTCTTGCTGAACTCTATGACTCTGGCATAGGATACAGTGCTATTAACACTGCGAGGAGTGCCATCTCATCTATTGTTACATTGGCTGACAATATGTCGTTTGGTACCCACCCCATGGTGTGTCGTTTCCTCAAAGGCGTGTTTGAATTGAAACCTTCCCTCCCTAAATACAAGAACATTTGGGATGTCAACACTGTCCTGGCTTACTTGTCAAACCTTCACCCACCTCCGGGCTTAACTTTGAAGGATCTCACCTTCAAACCGACAATGCTTTTAGCTTTGTTATCAGGGCAGAGGTGTCAGACACTGCATTTGTTTTCTGTTAGCAATATGGTATTGAAGGACGATAGCTGTGTATTCATCATCAACAAACTTTTGAAGACCTCTCGGCCAGGAAAGCATGTGTCAGACTTAACATTCACAGCCTGCTCACCAGACAACCGTCTCTGCCCTATCGTCTGCTTATCTGAATATGTCAAAAGGACAAGTCACCTTAGGAAAAGGAGTGACCAGCTGCTAGTGAGTTTCCAAAAGCCTCACAAGCCAGTTTCAACTGACACGATTTCTCGATGGCTAAAAACGGTTCTTGAAAAGTCAGGAATAGATACCTCAGTCTTTAAGGGACATAGCACTAGGGCAGCTTCTGCATCTGCAGCTGCAAAGTGTAAGGTTCCATTGTCTACAATCATGGATGACGCAGGCTGGTCAAATGCGACAACCTTTGGGAGATTCTACAGGAAACCCATCGTCACATCAAGTAAAGCTTATGGACAACTCCTATTGGAGAACCTCCACACATAGGATTGTTACAAGACATTTGTTACTGTTAACCAGTACTCATTACCACATGTTTGTTGTGTTTATTTAGTTGCTGCCTATTATAGGCAGACTCCCTATGACAATGAATCTGGGAACTTGGCAGCTTACTGTTTACTGCCTTCTTTCCTGAAGTGCACTCTGTGCACCATAGACTGACAAGCCATATAGCAGTAGTTGTTTTGTACACATAGTTTTGGTAAATAAACCTGTTTGTGTTTATTTCTTTGCTCATAATTGCACTGCTTTAAAGTCTCACGTGACTCACTAGTGAGTAGGACTGGTGTCGAAATAGAATTTATAAGTTAAACGAGACTTACCTGTAAGTTGAAGTTTGACTGTAATTCTATGAGATACCAGTCACGAACTAGGGAGTCACGTGCCCTACCCCTTCACTTGGTGACTATGTAGCACATTCATCTTATTACTTCCCACCCATTATTGTTTGCAATCATTCGCCTTTAAAGACTGATCGCTCGGGCTACTCGCACATATCTCACGTGACTCCCTAGTTCGTGATTGGTATCTCATAGAATTACAGTCAAACTTCAACTTTCAGGTAAGTCTCGTTTAACTTATAAATTTTTAGCACAAAATTATATTACTTTAAGAGGTTTATTCTTTAGAAGAGGTATATTTATGTATTCTGATAAAAAAGAAAGAATGTATTTACAAAACTTTACCAATTGTAAGGGAGTTTTATCTACCCTATTTTGTCACAAAATAGGCACACATGTGGCAATTGTCAGGTCTTAGGAATCAATTGTATCTGTGGTATCAATTCCTCATAACCCTTTTTGCTGTACCTTGCCAGTAATTTTTTCACCACCCACTTGGAAAGGTGCCAGACATCATATTGGTGATTTATTTGTGGACGTTATTCATTCATGAAGCTAAAAATTGACACATGTCTGTCAGTGGCTATACAGTTGATTTCAATGCTATTGCCCTCTTGGCTTTCCATGCAATGCTTGAAACCTTCGTCCTCCATGGCATTAGAGGAAGTGATCACGGAAACCTAGATGACACTGAATGCCACCACTTTACCAGTGCCATCATCCATAAGTGTCTAAGTGCCATACTTTGTATTAATAATTTGTTAAAACAAATACATAGAAATACAGTCCATTAATGAGCATGTTTATTTTTCTTTCATTTCTATCAGCAGAAACAATAACATTGAAGGAGTACATTTCATACCCCGTTTTACAATACAAATTATTTTTACCTCTATACCTTAAGAATTAGTGAATTTTTACATGTTCTAAAATACTAGGCAGGCTAGCTTCCCATAATAATTATACAAGATAGCTGAAGACAGCAGTATTGTAGTAGTGGTAAATTGCATAGCCATGATTGCTCGACTTTATACTGAATGATTGAAAAACTATTCACAAAGAAAAACGAGAAAAAAAATGACACTAACTTCTTCATGGCTACGACATCAAAGAATATTTTCGCTAAACAGCCTTGGCCTCTTTGCTGGCTGACAAAAGCAGAACTCTGATGGTACGGCATCCTCCTTCAATCTCCATTTGTTTTGTACTCCAGTAATCTGCGCACGTAAGTCGACTTCAAAACTTTCTGCTGAAAAGTGCTTGCGACAAACATAGAAGTTCTCAAGTGGAGGCATATTGGTCTTTCTTGTCCGTTCAAGCCATGCTTGCTGCCGCTGAGTTAGTAACAAATGCCGTTAATTTTGGTGGAATAATTAACACATCCAGGAACACAGCAGTTTACCAAATGAAACTAGGATGTAAATGTTACTAGACAGTTGTTAGAAAATAAGCTCCTTGTAAATTTTAAAATAGTAAAGGAAAGTACAAAGCGCCAAAGCGAAGGAGACATTGAAACTCCTGCTAAACTTTGACGATATGATGCCACAGGCAACTGCTGGTCAATACAATGTGGCTGAAAAAAGCGTCCAAGATCTATGGGTTCGTTTAGGAAATAAAGCTACATTTCTTTGCACTTTTTAGTGTTAAGTTTCATCCAGTTGCTGGAGCTCCAATAGGCAACAGTATTGAGGCTGGTTTGGATGTTCAAGTTGCTGTTCCTAACAAGTCCTTCAGACTGGGATATATCATCTACGTACTTCCAAGTGCTGGATTCGGGATCAGGGATATTCAAGTTGTTAATAATTACCAGCAACAACATTGGTCCAGGTTTGTTCCCTGGGGAATGCCAGCTGTTATTGGGAGCCAGACAGAGGTCAAGCCAGCTAACTTAACACATTGTCGTTGGTTAGTCAGAAAGCTAATAATTCACAGTATTGAATATGTAGAGACACCAAAGTCAAGAAACTTCTCTAACAGTACATTGTACCCAATGTGATCAAAAGCTTTAGAGAAATCAAGAAAGCAAAGGCAGAGATGTCTTCCGCATGAGTTGAGGTACGTAAGCCAGGTGTGAATCATGTCAAGTAAACAATACATTGTTGAGGTTCCTTTCAGACATCCAAACTGCTCTGGGTCAATTTTGTCCTTGACATCATCAATTAACCATTTGACTACAAAATCCTTAAGAACTTTGGACAGACAGAAAGTCAACAAGGTAGGTCTGAAGTCACTCTCATCAATAGGTGGCTGTATTTTTGGGATGGGTATTATATTAGATTCTTTCCAGACTTCTGGTACAATACCAGATCGAAGTGATGTGTTAAAGATGGTGGTGATAGGTTCAGGCAGTTGGTATGTGAACTCTTTAACAATGTGACATGGTACATTGTCTGGACCATGGGCCATGTAAGGTTTGATGGCAGGCAGCTTCTTGCAAACTTCGTGGGGCTACACAGATAGGACCCCCGCCTCAGCAGGAAGGAAAGCTGGTGGTATATTACTGTTGAGTGGTGGGGTGTCTGCATAGAACATAGAACCTATTTAAACTATTAACAAGTTCTTGTTGGCACATGTTTTGCTATTGTGTTCCAGTGAAAAAAAAGGAAGGCTTTGCAGGTCTGCCAGACATTTGATTGATAAATGTTCCACCACTTGCAGCAGTCATCTTTTTTTAGGTATTGTACTTTGTTCTTTTAGAAAGACCTTTTCCTCTTCGCTATTTCTTGTTGGACTTTGTATTTCGAGGGATTCCAGACTGGGATGTTGCCATTGTGAAATGCTTTCTGTAGGTCTTTGATCATAAGCTTGAGTTCAGGTGTTATCCATGCAGTTTGATGGTCTTTACATGGAGGATTCAATTAATGGCATCTATCAACTGAGTAGTAAGCGAGGAGGCTAGATTATCAGTGGATGGACTGGGGCCTAGATAGGTGAACCAGTCATGTGTGGTAACCCAGCTTCACAAAGGCATCAGTTCCAGATTGAGGGTAGTGGCACACCAGGCGCTTAGGGGGATTAACCAGTGGGGACTGCCTGTGCACTAGACTGGGTTGCCAAAATACGATGGTATGATCACTCAAACCTAGTGGGGCCTGAATAGTTGGGCTGCTATACAAGTTATGAATGTTTGTTGCTACAAGATCTAAGATAGCAGAGTTTCTAGTAGGTTGTTGAACAACTTGCTTTAAACTGTGATGGGAAACTAGGTCACTACAGAGAGAAGAACCAGACCATGATCAGGATGTTTGTTATGCAGACGATCAGTAGTATTAATTAAATAGTCATTCAGTTTTTTGTGACTTTCGGCAGATTGACCTGGAGGGTGATAAAAAACACAGATAGCTATGCCAGATAAAGGTCTAGGCTGGCATTTGGGGTGCAAAGTGAGCCACAAGCATTCAAATTTCGGGTGTTCTAAGTCCAATCGCTGTCTACAAGGTATTATGTTGTTCAAATAAACTCAAATTCTGCCACCTCAGCCAGCTACTCGATCTTTACCAAAGAGATCAAAAGCACTGATTGATAAAAAGCTGCTATCGATATCACTATGCAGCAACGACTCTGTGATAGTGACTAAGTCAACTAGATTCATTGCTAGTAATGCTGTTAAGGTTACTTCCCACCTTCAGAGGCTGAACACCGTTTTTTTTGTTCTTTAACTACATTGAAGTCAGACATTTTACATAACATCTGCAAAAAGAAAAATCTCAAAAAGCGTCTCACTTATTTAGAAAAACGTATTTTCAAATAAAAGTTAATCAATCAGGAAGGTGTCATATTCTCGTAACTGAGCGAGTCCCTTGGGAGTAACTTTCGCGGCAATTTCAAGTTATTTGCGTATTTTGATTACATCGCGTAGTTACAAAATTCTCACATAGAAGCGCAGTTCACGTTGCGTTCATGGAAAAATCAAAAGCAGAAAAAAGTCCATGGGCTAAGATAAACAAAAAAAGGGGCCCGAAGAAGAAAGTAAGAGCACCATTCCTCCAAGAAAAGAAAAATATCCTCGCTGAAAGCAACAAAGGTTCTTTGTTTGACCAAGAGCCTCTGACAAGCTCAGCATCCGCTGAAGATCCACAACGTTCGAAAATCATTGGAGCAAGCAGCTTAAAAATCAAAGTCAGTGCAGATCGCAAACAAGATTGTTCGTCAGAATCTAACAGAACCAATGCAGAAAAAGAAGAAAGCGAAAGTAGCGGCTCCAAAAACTGGAGCATTGTTGATAGAGATGAGCTCAATAGACAGCTTGCTGGTTGAGTCACTCGCAGCTTTTGTCAAAGCGAAGGGGTAAAGTTTGAAGAAGTTGCAAGAACTGGACTGGGAGTGGAATGGATTTGCCGTTGTAGTGCTCCTCACATGAGCTGGTGTCACCATTCCACACAACGCCTAAGACCAACAGGTTTTACGATGTAAACAGGGAACTGGTTCTTGGACTACGACTAACCGGTTGTGGCCATTCAGCTGCTTAAAGATTCCTAAGTGTTCTGAACCTACCTCTGCCAGTGAATAAAGATTGGTGGTCTAACCACACCAGGGCCTTGGAGCAGATTGCGAATGAACTCCTTGACGAGGAACTGAAAAACGCTGCCAATGAGGTAAAAAGATTCTTGCAGGGCGAGAGAGAAGACACAAACATCACTGACATGAATGAAGATCAGATGGCTGACATAGTTGTTGTAGATGGATCTTGGAACCAGCAAGGATGGTCTGCTCGCGATGGTGTTGTTGCAGTCATTTCAATTAACACAGGAAAAGTTTTAGATGCTATTTTCTTGTCGAACTCCTGTGCGAGTTGCGAACAAAAGTAATGGGAAGGCACCATTTCCAGAATGGATTACTTGGGTTGGGTTATCCGCCACGAAGGATATTGTTTCCATAATCACAAAGGGAGTTCGCAGGTAATTGACTCCTCTATTGTTATTTATAGTGAAACTTGTCATTTACATCTTTTTCTTCAGTAGTAGACTTTTTGATACAGAAGCACACAGTATTCTGTGATCCTATTAATTGTAGCCAAAATGCAGTGGCTGTGGAACCCATAAATTTTTTAACGGTCTGGAGACATTTACAGTGCCTGTTTTGGAAAACTTTAAAATGCGAGATAACATCTGTTCACCTTACATCTCTTACATGTACATTCCACTCTTTCATGATAGTCAACTCAACAGTTTATAGTAGGTTAAAATTATAGAAACCTTAACTGATAACATTTTCCCTGAATTATTTTCCTAAAGGGACTATCATACAATGGGCATTTAAATATGTTACTTTTGGATACTAATGTTGCAATGCTTTTCTTATAGTCAATGGAAGCACGAGGATCATGTCTCTTGTTTGGAAGGTCACTTGACTAACACAACTTGAGGTACATCCCTTTTGTGGGTGATAGGGACAGTAAAAGTTACTCAGAAGTATGTAAAATGGCCCATTATGGTCCAGCAGTTTTCATTCCCAAAGAAGACTGTATCACACATGTCACTGAACAAATGGGGACAGCATTGAGAAAGCTTATATTGACACGCAAGGGTGAGCAAATATTTGATTCTTTCATGTCAATTTTTCACCAATCAAAAATCCACTTCAGGAATCTGTGGTTAGGTTGATGCAGCCAATATGTGACCTCTCACGCGAAAACGTTCCTTACGGTTTGCCGTTTTGAAACGGATAGCCGTTCGTAAGCCGTTCATCAGCCGTTCGAACGGGATGGGATGCCGTTCGAACGGCTTGAGCTATCCGTTCAAAAAAAATTGGGAGCCGTTCGAACGGCTGGAGCTATCCGTTCCAAATAGATTGGGAGCCGTTCGAACGGCTTGAGCCATCCGTTCAAAAAAAATTGGGAGCCGTTCGAACAGCTGGAGCTATCCGTTCCAAAAAAATCGGGAGCCGTTCGAATGGCTTGAGCTATCCGTTCAAAAAAAATTGGGAGCCATTCGAACGGCTGGAGCTATACGTTTCAAAAAAGTTGTGAGCTGTTCGAACTGGATGTTCGTGGCGAACGGCTGGCGATATGTTTTGAAACCGTAGCTTACAATTCCTTTGGAAGGGATGTTTCGAGCCGTGATCCTGTCAAAGTTAATAGTCTTCGCACTGCGATCAGTCAAGAGTACATCGGACAGACTAAAGTTAGTTTGGTAAACACTTGAAGGTTCCTAATATAGCGTGTTTCCCCTCTGCAAGGAATTAAACTCTGCTTTGTTTAGAGCATGCTTGCCAAACCAACAGTACAGCGTCGGCTGTGTTCGGAAACGAGATGTTTACAAAGTCAATTAATGGCGTTACACTACGAATTCTGGAAATGGTTGCATGACAATTATTTTAAAAGAGAACGCAGACTATTACCGGCTTTTGTTATGGGCGTCTCCCGCGAAAACGAATTTGCTTTACTCTCAAAAGACTTATTATTTTCAAAACAGGATTAGGTTTATTCTAGGTTTTCTATCAGTTTTCAGATCTAAGCGGCGCGTGTCGCATTTATCTTAATTACTGTCATTTCGTTCGAATGTTTTTGATCGGCCGTTCAACCGTTTACTTTGACCTTATCCGTTGAAAACTTCAGCCGTTCAGCCGGTCGAAATTTTCCTTCAGCAGTTCAGCCGTTCGACTTCAACCGTTCGAAACTTTTCTGAAGCCGTTCAGCCGTTCGACTTCAACCGTTCGAAATTTTCCTTTAGCCGTTCAACCGTTCGACTTCAACCGTTCGAAATTTTCCTTTAGCCGTTCAGCCGTTCGACTTCAACCGTTCGAAATTTTCCTTTAGCCGTTCAGCCGTTCGACTTCAACCGTTTGAAATTTTTCTGAAGCCGTTCAGCCGTTCATAGCATCCGTTTTAAACGGTTTCTCTATCCGTTTGTCATCCGTTCACATACAGTGCGTTCGACCGTTTGAACGGATACCGTAAGGAACGTTTTCGCGTGAGAGGTCACATATTTGATAACCTTGGCTCTGAATAATTTCTTGTTGGGTGTGAGAGGTGCCTTGATCAAAATCAAAATGAATGCTTACACCATGTTATCTGGGGTATGGCCCCAAAAGAACAATACACCTCCCAACAAGAGACAAGTCTAGCAGTGGCACTTGGTTTGCTAGTTTTTAATAATGATATAAAGGACACTGTTTCTAAGTTATTGTCAGCTATGGATCTACCTGTATGTTTCGTTGAAATTGTAACTACGTCACAGTCAATTAATGAACTTAATTACTTTCCTAATTGTGATACACCTCAAGCAAGACAACCATTTGGTAACTATTCTGTTTTGTTATATTTATATTTTACTGTAATTACTTTCCTGATACGCTTACTATGTGTAACTTATAGATTTTGAACAACGCTAACGAAGAATAAACAGCAGTTTGAAACTCATGGTTTTGGATGCGTATCACAACAAAACACTGTAAACCCCAGTGTGTTAAGGGAACTGGAGATGATTGATTCAAAGCGAATTAGAGAATCAGATTTTAAGACAGACCCTTGCACCAAAAACCGCAGAAAGAAGCTGAAGAGGGATAAATGTAAAAAGCAAGATGCCTTTCAACATCAATGAGGTGTCGTGTACAGTTCTCAGGGATTCTACACAACTTAATGTTGACTTACATACCGTGTTTTGAGACTGGCTTTTATGCCTTGTTTAGCATAACGTTTCAGTGGCTTTGAATTTGCAGAAATTAGATTCCAATGTAAACACTAGGCTTTATACAATTTTATTTAGGACTTCATTTACCATAGTATAGTGTTCATGACTTATGTCACCGGAAGTGTAATCTAATACATGTGATTGCATTGAATAAAGTATCAGTCTAATCACCACATGCTCCGAGTAAGACGTACAACAATCCTAGTATACAATCCTACATTAGCAATGAGGATTCGAGGATTTTATGGAACCAATTCACGGCATTTCATTTGCCGCTGCACCTTCTCACTACTGGCAAACGTTTTCTGGTTTCAACATGGCAGTATCCCTGCCAACATTCCCACCATTCGATGTCCACAGCGATGCCTCCTCCACCGTTGTCCGATGGAAAAAGTGGCTTCGGCAGTTTGAAAACATGATGATTGGGCTCAACATCAAAGACGATCTGAAGAGGAAACGAGCTCTGGTTCTTCACTATGCAGGTGAGGAGATTAACGACATTTTTTAAACTTTGCCAGACACTGGGGAGGAAAACAATTATCAGGCAGCTATTGATGCTCTAAACACACATTTCGCCCCTACGGCCAATTCGGAATTCTCGATTTACTGTTTTCGTCAAGCCAAACAGCAGCTGAATGAAACCCTCGACACGTTCCATACAAGGCTACAACAGCTGGCGATGCCGTGTAGCTTCACAGACAATGACAAAGAAGTCAAGACCCAAATCATCCAAGCATGCACTTCTCGCAAACTTCGCCTTAGTGCCCTACAACACCCTGAATGGTCGCTCTCGAATCTCCTGAGCTCAGGCAGAGCCATGGAACTGGCCAACAAACACGCCGCAGACATCGAGCAGCCGCTCAAAGCGTTGTCAATGAACCACATACACGCAAAACAGTAAGTCATGAACACTACACATAGCAAGAGTTGTTTCATGAACAAATAAAAGTTTTGGGGTTTCAATCCAAAGTTGAGGGTTGGTTATATACAGGGAAATATCATTATTACTGATGTTTGAGGAACTACTCAAAAAAGATAACACACTAATATATTCCACGAGATTTGGTACTTTTTGTAATGAAATTGTGACACAAGGGACAGGACTTACAAGACCTACAGCTACAAGTAGGTTCTTTTGTAATTAACTGGACAAAATCTGTACAAACAAAAAATATTAACTGGGGAACTGCAATATACAAGGGTTTTTACGTGTCAATCTGCTTTTGGGAGAAAAAGTTATCTAATATTTCCAGTTGCAGCTATTAACAATATCATTACTTCCACCTAGTTCGTTGTGGAAATTGATGGAAGGTCAAGTGCTGAGCAAAACTCCTGAAGTTCAACTTGAAAAGCATCCTGTAGTAGTAATAAAGAAATTTAACTTCATTATTGTGAGATCAACATAATTTAAGCAGAGGATTTTTATTTCTTAAAAAGCTCAAGAAAGTGTGTGTATTGACACAGACAGACAAACCTCTCTGATCTCTCCCTTCACGTCTCCTGGAGTGATGTTTCTTATGTATTTCAAAACAACTTTTGGAAATGAATAATCCACATCTTCTGGCCCAACTTCTTTTTTCTGAAGGAAAAAGTACAAAACAGTCTCTTTTACATTTCTGCATGCTTACTTTTCACAAAATCGGGAACCTGTGTAAAGCTAAAAGCTCCGCAACAATCGGTTCTCACCATTAGTACATGTGCCCATGTGCAGTATTGGATGTATCGCGTTCTGTGCAGCCTTTTTCCTCTCTTAGTACTTTGCTCCATGCTGGTGTCCAGATTTTGAACGAAGAAGTTGCCATCATACCTAAATTTGTCGTTCAAACAGTCAAACAAAAGCATGAGCAATTTGTTTCACAAAAGCACAAGCGATCGCCTCGAATTGTAATTTCGAAATCATAAATAAACCTACCCGAGTGAACTAATTTCAGCAATAGGGGTATTCCTTAAGCTGTCTGTAGATTCTTGGTCTTGGTTTTTGGCATTTTTTCCAGCTTTACTTTTCTTAATGTGGGTTTTTTCTTTGCCTTTGGCATCTTTGCCCATTATATTGTTGTCCTCCTTAAAGTTCCAAAGAGCAAGATATGAAACTGCATTTGCCATATGATACTTTTTGCAGGAACTCTTGATCTATTGTCATTGTTGCCAGGAGGATCTGTTCTCCCATTGGTTTGCGGTTTCAGGAGGCAATATAATCTCCCACTGTGGCACGGGTTGATTACGAAGCTTTATGAGCTGAAATCTCGCAATTGATTTTGAGAGTCAAATAATTCCCTTATGGGAACAAACATTGTCCATTTGGACACAAATAACTCCCTTATGGGAAGTAAACATGTCTTTCGAGACACAAGCAATTCCCTCTTGGGAACTAATAACTTCCTTGTGGAAAGAAAAATCGCCTTTCGAGGCGCAGCATCTGATCATTCACAAGCTAAACAAACGTCTTTGCTTCAGCAATTCGAATTGTTTTGTAAACAGGGGTTCGAGAGAACTGTCTCTGATTCTGACTATGAAAATACAGTTAAGATTATTGGTTGTGATTCACACAATAAGTGAAATTCATCTTTTAGTGAAGTGAGTGTAACTGATGGGCCAGCCAAGGTAAACCTCTTCAGGAAACCTGATTTACGTCGACAATATAGACAATATAGAAATTTTTGACAGCCTTTACAAATGATGGGTCGCAGATACAGAGATAGAGAGCCATCTAGGATTTCACTGACAAAACTTTTGTGTTTAATGAAATGCAGAAAACTAAGGAAAAAGCACGAAGTCCTGTCTTGTCTGTTTTGCACAACATTGCTTCAAATTATAAGCAGTGGAACATCAGGTATATTCAAAGGCTAGACTGTTTTTACAGCAGTTATTTTACCAAGATTAAGAAATCAACAGTGGCTGTATACAATGAGTCAGAAAAAAATATTTTACTATCTGGAGATGTTGAATTAAACCCTGGTCCAGTGACAGATTTTAGCACTTTGTCTCAAGCAACAACAAATGACAGGTCGAATTTCTTGCTCAACTATAGACTTCTTAGGCATGGTTTAAATCAATTGGATGTAGGTGGAGGAGGGGATTGTTTCTTTAAATCAGTATCATATCAGTTATATGGTGATTCACATCACCACTTGGAATTAGATCTGCAGGTATTCAGTACATGAGATAATCCAGAACGATTTATTTAAAGTGTGTTAGATTCATCTTGGTCGCAATATATATCCAACATGTCTCAGCCAGGAACATGGGCAGATCATATTATTATACAAGCAGTAGCAGATTCTATGAATTTACAGATTCATATCATTGAATCTAATCCAAATTTTACAGAAATGACCTTGGTTGAAGCAACAAGTTTGACTCAAAATCCTAGATGTATTTATATAGGGCACATTGATGAGCTGCATTATATATCAACCTTCCCAGCTTTATCTGAATCAAGTACAAATCAGGTTAACAGTCAAAAGACATACCTTAATTCAAGCAATAGTACAAATAAATGCAAAAGAAAGAGCAATGATACTGTG